ATGACTGAGACCTGTCAGTCTGGTTCACTGACAGAACCCTAGGACCCATTGCAGCTTCTGATACAAAGTAAGCAATCAATATACATTTGCTTAATGAAAGATTATTTAGTTTTTCTGCTGCTTATCCAGTTTTTAAAAATAGTCATATGCTTCCTCTCATATTTCTGAAGTCCCTTCTCTACTTTAGCTGTTGTCTCCCCCTCCTCCCATTTTATCTTGGTTATTTTATTTCACTTAATTTGTCCTTTTACTTTGGAAGAGACTAGGTAAAAATACAATATTGACATTTATTATATCTTTTCACCATTTTCAACTTTTTTCTTATACCTAATTTTATCTTCCTATTTCTAAATTCTGTTATTTATTTTTTAAATAATTATTGTTTTATTACCATTTTATTAGTATATTCTTACGTTAATAAATATTTATTTTAGTCTCATAAAATAGTTTTTATTTCCTCAAACAACTTCCTGCCTTTCATCACTTTTTTTCCTTCTTGCTTTTATTAATTAATTTATTCATTTATTTTTGGCTGCGTTGGGTCTTCGTTGCTGCACGCCGGCTTTCTCTAGTTGTGGCGAGCGGGGGCTACTCTTTGTTGCGGTGCACAGGCTTCTCCTTGCAGTGGCTTCTCTTGTTGCGGAGCACGGGCTCCAGGGACGCGGGTTTCAGTAGTTGTGGTGCTCAGGTCCAGTTGTGGCTTGCAGGCTCAGTAGTTGTGGCGCACGGGCTCAGTTGCTTCGCGGCATGTGGAATCTTCCCGGATCAGGGCTCGAACCCGTGTCTCCTGCATTGGCAGGCGGCTTCTGAACCACTGTGCCACCACGGAAATCCCCCCTTCTTGCTTTTAAATAAGAAGTGGCAGCATTTCATACATAGAAATGGGGCTAGATATGTCCCCACAGACATCTTTATTATTCCGTCGTCCCATAGGTTCTCTCTATTTTTCAATAGCCTATGTTTAATCTCAATTGTTAAACTTAATCCAAATCTGGGTGGGAGTGTTGGTTAGCTCCATTTTTACACATTAGACAAGTCAAACACCTGGAAGCCAATAGCCATTCAGATAAAACTGGGTAATGGCTTTTATCTGACTTACAGCCCAATTTAGAATGAAGTTCTAAAAACTACCATATTGGAAACACCCAGTTATCTGGTATGAACACTTTTTAGAAGTATCCATAGCGTAGATAAAGAAGAATCCAGGAAAAAAATCCAAATCGTTTTGAACACGCCTGATATGAATGGAGGCATAAGAGATGGATAATATCCAAACTATTAGCATTTTAATATGTCAGGTCTGTTCTAAGAACTAACTTCAGAAAAATGAGTTTTTTTGGTTACCAAGTTGGGAGAGGAAAGAACACTCCCTGAGTCGAGATTGTTTTCACTTCTGCCCCCTGACATGAAAACTAAGGGGAAAGTGACCAAGGCAGTACTCATCCTCTCTAGATTTTCAGGAATGAGCTCCTCCTGCCCTGAAAACTGAGATGTTTTCTTCCTTTTCTCATCCTTCTCTCAGGTAAAATCTTCCTGAGAAGATATTCTAGGCAAATACTCTAACTGTTTAACTTTGGGTAAGATCTGGCCCTTCACAAAAGAGTCTGTGTCATTAAGAAGCAGTGTAGGAGGTCCTAACCCTTCCAGTTAATTAATTTTGGAGAAACAAGAACTCCCTTGTTGGGTAGGCTAGAGGTCCTGCAGAGCAAATTGTGTTACAGATTTTAACTCTAAGTTACCTGGCCTGCCAACTTTATTTGCAGAAGAACGTTCGAACATCTGTCTCCTTCCTGACGAGGATTCCAACATTTATCTGGGAACTCTTACCGCAGATAATAGCGCATTTGGTGCCCTTGCTACTCACATTAAGACATTCCCAAATCCCCTTCTGATATCACAGATGCCAAGGTTGATTTCCCTTTGTAGTTAATTCTACTGCCACCAGTCATAGGACACCACTATCAAGCCCCTTCCATACACAGCCCCGCACCTCTGCAAAGGGATTAGCTCAGAAAACTTACACAGTTTCCCACCACATAGAACTGGTTATCTATGCAGTACCTTAGCCAGGATCAGCTAGGTCTGTTTAGCAGTGGTGTCTTCAGCAAATGTCGTACGGCAGAAGCCTGAACCCAAAGTTACAACCAATGAAAACACATGCATCTTTTATAATCCCATGATTCTACATTCTAGAACACATCCCACAACGGCAAAAATTCTAAGAATCTGGAGAGACAGGGAACAAAGACTGTGACCTCATAAACTTCCATTCATTTAAGTTCCAGTGACTATTTCAGCATTGTCTGGTTTGAAAAAGAGGGGCATTTCTTCCCAGTCCTAATGTGGTTTTCTGAATCTAATCTAGTGTGTCCAAATATATATGTCACCTTTGTAGAAGTAAATGGGTACATCAGATGATTTGTTCCAAATCAATAGTTACTTTATGTATGTGTTTACATCCATGCACATGTGTACCTTTAAAATGCCATTGACACATGCATATTCATTACTATATATTTACTCTGTCCTGAATTGTAACTGTGGATGATTTAAATACTAGAAGTTGGAAATTATGATGCAAGTTATGGTAAAGCCTAATTCTTGGGTAATCTGAACTGGAAAGATTATATCCCCATAGCTCATGTTTCTAGGGGCAGCTATTCTAAGAGAAGAGAGGAGCATATGATCAAGCTAATCTATTACTCAGTGTCAGTTTGTGCCCAAGGGGACAAAATTCAAATCCACCCATGGCTTTCAGTCATAGGTTTTGCACATCTTCAACTAACTACTGTAAAATTATTCCCCAAAGTGATTATACCAATTCACTCCCATCAGCAGTGTATGAGTATTCCTGTTGCTTCACATCCTTGCTAACACTTGGTATTGTAAGTCCTTAATTTTTGTCCATAAGATGGCAGTAAAATTATAATTAATTTGCATTTCCTTGTTTAACAGGGAGCTTGGGTCCTTTTCATGTCTGTTGACTCACCCTGTTTCCATTTCTGTCAATTGTCTAGTCATTTTTTTGGTTTATTTTTCTACTGTATTCACTAAAAATATATTAGTTGGGTGCCTATTATGTACCAGGTGCTATTTCAGGCACATGCGATATAGTAGAAAATAATTTCCATCCACATATGGCTTATATTCTAGAAAGGATGATACCCAAAAACAATATAAGTAAGATAATTAGATAGCATATTAGAAGTTGCTAAGGGCTATGAAGAAAACTGAAGCAGAGAAGAGGGTAAGGAGTGTCTTCGTGGCAATCCGCAATTTTAAATCTCATGGCCAGGGCGGGCCACACTGGGAAGGTAAAACTGTGCAAAGATTTGAAAGGGGTGAGAGAGTGAGTCATGCACCCATCTGGTGGTGGTGAAAGGGCTTTCCAAAGAAAGGGTTAGAAGAGCAGCTACCTGAGTATAGAGAAGGGGGCTAGAAGGTTAGGTCTGAGAGGTGAGGGGCAGAGGGGACAGTCATGTGAGACATTGTAGGCAGATGCAAGGACTGTGGTTTTTACACCTTGAGTGAAAAATCATGGAAGAATTTTGAACGAAGTATTTTCTAAAAGGATTATTCTAGCTACTGGGTTGAGAATGATAACAGCAAAATAAAAAATAACAAAATCACTTGTGTGGTTCTGTGTTCCATGCACTGAGTCAGGCACTTTACATATATTAACTCATTTAATATATTCCAGAGAGGTAGGCAAGAATGGAAGCAGGAAGACCCGTTCTGGTTATTAGTTCTTTTTTTTTTTAATTAATTTTTATTGGAGTATAGTTGCTTTACAATGTTGTGTTAGTTTCTGCTGTTCAGCAAAGTGAATCAGCATACATATACATATATCCCCTCTTTTTTAGATTTCCTTCCCATTTAGGTCACCACAGAGCACTGAATGGAGTTCTCTGTGCTATACATTAGGCTCTCATTAGTTATCTATTTTATACATAGTCAATGTATAAATAGTCAGTCCCAATCTCCCAATTCATAGTTCTTTTCTTACTGATTTATGTTAAGTTCCTTATACGTTCTAGGCACCACTTATCTTTTGGTGATTATATGCGGTTGCAAATATCTTCTCCCATTCTGTGGGTTGTTTTAACATTTAAGTTATATATATTCGCAATTTGTTGTGCTCTTCTCCCATTGACTTTTTAAGCAAATGCCCTTTTTAACTCCAGTCATCCCACAATTTTCAGTTATTTCCTCTTCCCTGCTACCATTGCACTTGGCACAAACCTCTTTTGGATCACTTAACAAATTACTTATTAATGCATGTTTTCGTCATTGTTCTGTAAATCTCGCGATGTGAGATGCTGTTTTACAAACTATGTCCCAGCAACTAACACATAACGGGTGTTCAATACATGTTTGCAGAGCTAAGTGAAAAAAAGGGGTATATGGTCCGGTATCACTTCACCTGGGAAAATGAGAAAATGGATGTTGTACTCCACTGAGTGAAATGAAAGAGAAAAGGCTTTTGCGATGGGAAATGTCCTCTGGCTCTGCTTTGCCTCATAAGACTGAGAATACTGAACTAACCTTTGCACCTAAGAGATCACTTAGACGATAGCTCCACGAGCACCCTCATTTTACTGCACACTACGCTGTGGAAGAGAGTAATTCACCAAAGGTTAAGACGAATTCAGGTTCCTAGAGCGACTACGACCTCAATCTCCTGGTATGTTTTTGTAGCTCGGAGGGTTTCCACCAACCTTTGTTTCGGTAGGCAGGCAGCGTGAGAAAGACAGGAACTGAGACGTAAGACACTTAACGTAACCTTTGCCCCACCCTCCTGGTTTAGAGGCTTTGTGCACTCAATGCGCATGCGTCACTTTTTCTTTCAGGAATGGGCGGTGCAGAGCCTTTGCTCCGGTAAAGAGCCTCAGGGGGCGGGGCCAAGCTGTTTCCAAGGTGACGGAATGGCGGCCTCTGTGGTGGATTGAGCGGGTCTGGGCGAGTTCCCAGAGGGCTGCGCGTCCTGGTTGCTCCGCGCTGTCATGGCGGGCTTGCTGAGGAAGGTGAGGCGGGTGGAGGTCACTGACGGAATTTAGACTGTGGGGATGGAGTCAGCCCGCGGGTGGTGGCCGGAACTGTCACGGGCTTGGCGGTGCTTCTGGGGTACTCATTATGCTCTGCCCTTAGGGGTGACCAGTTTAGCGGCTCCGAGCGGAGAGAGAGAAGAAAACTCCGAACCAGCGGCTTTGAGAGACCGGTAGCTGGTTTTAGGCCAGTTTTAGCCAGGACAGTAGTGGTTTTGCTTGTCTTAGCGTGGGTACGCGGGGAATTGTAGTAAACAGCATGAATCGTGTTTTGTTTTTTGAACAGACCACTGGCCTTGTGGGATTGGCTGTATGTGAGAGTCCACACGAGGTATGTACCTCTTTTCTTCCTTCCTGAGTTTCCAAGGAAGCCTAGAACCCTGCGACCTTGTTTCTTCAATGGTTAACGGGATACGGATATTGCAAGCCCCAAATTACAACTCAGCGTGAGCTCTTGAGTCAACAGCAGTATTTAGTACTTGGTTTATCTGGTACCACGTTTTTGTTTGGTGGTTTTGCCATGATCTCTTTCTCAAACCATTTTCTTGTTGAGTTTTTCCGTGGCATTCTGGTGGCTCACTTGTACTTTTGCGAGTGTCTTCCCAGATCTGTATCGCCATTTTCCACCTTTTCCCCCGCCTCCCCTTTTCTTAGGTGCCTTAGATTCTGTACAATTTCGATTACCAAAGATAGCGGTCTAGCAGTTGCCGCCTTTTGTCATCAGTTTTCCCGTCTAGTAGGTCTTTCCCGTCAGTATTCAGACATTCTTCCATCACAAAAAATGACCTCCCTGGATCGTTCTCTTCCCTCCTGTAATCACGCCATTTCTCTCCTTCCTTCCCTTTTACAGGTAACTCAAAAGTTATCTGTACTTAACGGTCTCCTATTTCTCTTATCCACTTTGAAGGCACTCCAGTCAGGCTTGGCCAGAACTGTTCTTTTCAAGGTCACCATGCTGCTAAATCCGATGGTCAGCTCACCTTTCTCATCTTTGTTAACCCATTAGCAGCATTTGACTTATTTGGCACTGTCCATCAAACACTTTACTGTGCTTCAAGACACCTCAGTCTCCTGGTGTGTTTTTCTCCCCTACTTCTTTTGGCTTTCTCCTTTTCTGCTTATCCCTCATATCCCTACTTCTAAATGGTGGAGTTCTAAGACTTTGTTCTTGGGTCTTTTCTCTATTTGTATTTGCTCTCTGTTGGTGTCTGGACCCATTCCGATGGTTTTAAATACCACCTACACACTTACAACTCTTGGGTTTCCGTGGCAAGCACACTGACCTCTCCCTTTATGGAAGCCTTGTGTATTTCATTACTTAGTGGACATCTCCACTTGGATGTCAGGCAGGCAAGCTAAACTTAACATGCCCAAAACTGGGTCCCTAATCTTCTCCCTAAAACCTGCTCTTCTCTCAGGTTTGCTCATCTCAGTGAACAGCAGTTCCATTTTTCTATTCACTCAGTCAAAAACCTTGAAATCATCTTTCATTCTTTTCTTTCTCTCACACCCCACCTTGGGTACTTCAGTAAATCTTCTGGGTTCTACCTTCAAATTATATCCAATTTGTTTGTTTGTTTGTTTGTTTGCGATACGCGGGCCTCTTACTGCCGTGGCCTCTCCCGTTGCGGAGCACAGGCTCCGGACGCGCAGGCTCAGCGGCCGTGGCTCACGGGCCCAGCCGCTGCGCGGCATGTGGGATCTTCCCGGACCGGGGCACGAACCCGTGTCCCCTGCATCGGCAGGCGGACCCCCAACCACTGCACCACCAGGGAAGCCCTATATCCAAATTTTGATTACTTCTCACCACCTCCTCGACTACCCTATTCTCAGCCGCCATCATCATGGCTGTGGATAATTGCATTTGCTTCCTAACTGCGTCTCCCTGCTTTCCACTGCCTCAGTTTGATCTTTTTTCAACAAAAGTCAGCCTGCTAAAATGTGAGTCAAGTCATGTGACTCCTTTCCTCAGAATTCACCAGTGCTTTTCCATTTCACTCTAAATACAAAAGTGCTTACAGTGGTTCTCCAGATCACTATTCAACGGACTGTATTCTACTGATTTATCTTGTATGTTGTCTCTCTCTACTGGACTGTAGGTTTTCATCAAGACAGGTATTTTTTATTCTTTTGTTCACTGCTAGAACTATGCTAGCACATGGTATGTGCTCAGTAACTAATGTTTGTTGAGTTAATGTCTTGTACTCCTTATGAGTTCATAATGCCTTTAGACTCATTGTCTAAAACTGAACTCATGGTTTTCCCTTTCTAAATCTGTTTCTTCCACTGTGGAGTATTTTTCTTGATGGTATCAAAGTCTTTCTACTCTGCAGGCTGGGAATTGGACATCATAGTTGATACTTCTCTTACACTCTTTTATCTTCATGTTCACTCCAGCGATGAATTTTGTTGATCTTTTTCTATAACAGCTCTCCATTATGACCTCTCTTTTTTTGTCCTACTATTATTACCACAGTTTAGTCTCTTGTTCTTGTGTAGAGAATTGCAACAACCTTGTTACTGGCCTTCTTCTCTGTTGCTCCTTTATCCCATTCTTTTAACTCACTACTGCCAGATTAATTTTTCTGAAGCACACATCTAATCACAGTTTCCCTAAATCTTTTAATTGCCCACATAAGAAAGCCCAAATGCTTTAACTTGCCATGCAGAACCACATACAGTCTGATTTGCTTTTTCTCCAACCTTATGTCCAAAGCATTTTCTCTGTGTCCTATATTCTAGCCATGTGCTGTCCAATAAAAATATAATGCAAGTCATAAATACAAACCATGCTTGACTTGTAGTACAAAATTTTCTAGGAGTCACTTTTTTTAATAAGGAAAAAGTTAATATATTTTATTTTACCTAACATATCCAAAATATTACCATTTCAATATATAATCAATATAAAAAATTAATGATATTTTATAGTCTTTTTTTCATACTAAATGTTCAAAATCCAGTGTGTAGTTACACTTAACAGCACACTTAGTTCAGATTTGTCACATTTCAAGTGCTCAATGGCCAAATTTGGCTAGTGGCTACTATATTAGACAACACAGTTCAAGGGAAATAGAACTATATAATAATTACTTTACATTACCTGCCATTCAATCCTCTGTATGTATTCTATGTGTAAGTTTGCCTTTTGTAACATCTTCAAATGTCTAAGTCCTACCATCCCTCCAGGTCTATCTCAGATGCTGACTTTTCTATGAAACCTTCTCTGACATCTGCTGATGTGACTCTTCTTTCCCCAATAGAATAATAATGCTAACATTTATTGAAACTTAATGTGTGCCAGGTACTGTTCTAAGTTATACAAAATCCTATGAAGCTGATATTATTAACATCCCCATTTTAGAATCCATGTCTCTTACCAGGCCTTTCTATTGTCATGCCCTTTGCTAAAATTGAGAAGAAATGAGGCTAAACCACCCCTCACTCACACACTCACACACACTCACACACACAACACACACACAAGTTAGATTATGTGTTATCTAACAAGCTCTACATTAGTGTAGTAAAATACCCTCTATTACGGAACATCATATTCAAATATAGAAGTAATGTCTAAATATGCAGAGTACTTTTTAAGAAAAATGATTCTTAGAGGCCCTTAAGGTTGGTTTTGTTTATTCATATTTATGGTGAATATATATTAATGAAATTAGGTATTAGCATCTACGGTTTCATACAATTAAACTAAAACAAATTTCAAACTAAATTTCAAAGAAATAATGAAAAATCCTCATCACATATGTATATTTATGATTATACTTAATATTTATGAACTGTGAATTAGGGTCTACTATAACAACTTTTATCATATGACTTTATTGCTGGCTGCTGTATTGAACTTTAAGTTCAGTGTGCTTTAATATGTGCTGCTTTAATATGTGCAGTGACTCTGTTTTCTTGCTGCTTTTTTCTGTTGAGCCTGTGGTGAAATCTTCACATGGTACCAACTTGATCATAGTCACTAAGCATAAGCACTAAAGTATCATCACTACATTCCGTTAAATTTGATCATACTGATAATATACTGCTTATATATTTTTCTATTTTTATAGAAATCCAAATAAAAATTTTTTTAAAAATCAGAATTTGCAGTGCTTAGGACCTCAATTTGAGACATACTGATTTAGTAAGTGATTTAATTTACCAAAAAGATTGTTAGCAATAAGTTAGAATGCAGTTTTATTTTTGTTATCATACCTTTAACTTCTGTACAACTTTTGTCATACATACAAATATGAAAAGTTTCCATCTTTATATTCACATTTTTCCTAAGCTGTAAAGGGATCGATAGGCATAGACATGAAGAAGTTGCAGCAAGGAAAAATTAAATGCTTTTTAAAAAAATAGTTGTGAATTTTTTTTTTTTTAATAATCAGTGAGACTTTTTAAATCTTTGGTGACATTTTAAACTGGAAATTTGTATTTTTTGTCTTTTCAGAGGCTAAAAATATTGTATACAAAGATTCTTGATGTTCTTGGACAAATCCCTAAAAATGCAGCATATAGAAAGTATACAGAACAGATTACAAATGAGAAACTGAGTATGGTTAAAGCGGTAAGTAGCGAACTTGCTTTTGTTTTCTTGGATGTATGGTATCCAATGCAACATTTAACGAAAAAAATAAAAAATTCAGTTGATTACTTTTTGCATGTTCTGCACACTCTCCTTTCTGTTCTCCTTCCTTCCGTGTGTTTCTTCCATCCTTTCTCCTTCATTCATCAAATTCCTGTTCATTGAGTACTTTTTATATGACAGGCACTATAAATACAGGAGTGAAAGAATAAGATCAAGTCCCTTCCTTAAGTTAACATTATAGCTTTCATTTATGTCTCTTACCTGTCTAGTCCTTTATTGATCTTTTACTTCTTATCTATAGATATATCAATCTTTATTTCATTTTTCTAGTTTTAGAGTAGAGAAGAATGAAAACAAAACCGAAAAAAATATGTATATTGTGTTTAACAACTGTCAGGAATAACTATTTTAAAAAGTGCTTTGTTATGAAAAGAAGAGGACCAAGTTAGTCTCTTAACTACCAAAAATTATATTGAGCTTTGTTATGGACAGAATGTTTGTGTCCTCCCAAATTCATATGTTGAAGCCCTAACCCTGCAGTGTGGAGTAATTAAGGTTAATGAGATCATAAGAGTGGTACACTGATCCAGTAGGATTAGTGTCCTTCTAAGAAGAGATACCGGAGAGTTCACGTTCTCTGCCATGTAAGGACACAGCAAGAAGGTCGCTGTCTGCAAGCCAGGAAGAGAGCTCCCACCAGAAACGGACTCTGTCGTACCTTGATCTTGGACTTCCAGTATCCAGAATTGTGAGAAAATAAATTTTTCTTGTTTGAGCCATCCAGTCTATGTATGGTATTTTGTTATGGCAGCCCAGGCAGACTAATACAAGCATTTTACAGCTTCTGAATCAGAGGCCCTAGACAGGCACACAATAGACTGCTGCTACCTCTTTTTTTTTTTTTGCGGTACGCAGGCCTCTCACCGCTGTGGCCTCTCCTGCTGTGGAGCACAGGCTCCGGACGCGCAGGCCCAGCGGCCATGGCCCACGGGCCCAGCTGCTCCGCGGCATGTGGGATCCTCCCAGACCGGGGCACGAACCCGTGTCCCCTGCATCGGCAGACGGACTCTCAACCACTGCGCCACCAGGGAAGTCCTGCTGCTACTTCTTTTATACCAAACTGTATTGCACTGTTGTTAAATTTCCACACTAGCAGTTATTTCATGGACTTTTGTAATTATCCAAAATAGTGTTCATAGACTCCAAAAGTTTAGGACCACTTATACATGTAATAAGTGGCCCTAATATAGTTTTCTTCTTATTAGATCACCAAACTCTGTAGTCCAGAGAGAATTCTTACATTTTCTGCAGGTATATGGCAAAACAGTGCAATTCGATTTGGAACTTTTATGCTTATCTTGGCAGTTCTGGAAGTAATTCACTGATTACAAGTCTCTAAAGGGGAAATGAACATTTCTTTTGAATTCATCTTTCTTTAAGGAAAATGGGCTTATGCATTTTTTCCCATCTCATAGTAAGAAATTTCTTTTTCTTTTCATGAGGTCAGTCTCTTCAACTGTCTTTTATTCTCTGCTTTCCTTCTCCATAACCGTGTTCCCCTTTAATCATTTCTTCTCTGTTTCTCTTTTAGCCTTCCATTTTATTATCATCTTTCTGTTAGCCTCAAAATGTATTTAGCTTTTTTCTACCTTAAAAGAAAACTTATCCTTATATTTTCCTTTACTTTTGCCAATGTCACCCAAAGAAGAGTTCACTGTCATTGCTTTCACTTAATAGTTCTAAAATTCTTTTCTCTGACCTAGGCTGTTTCAGTTGCCTTATAACTAACTTGGTCTGTGCTTAGTTCTGTCATATTTCATTATATGCCCCACACTGCCAATAGAGTTGTTTTTTCAATATGTAAATATGATCATGAGATCTTCCTGCTTAAAACTTTACTATGGTTTCCTGTTCAGTGTTTCTCAAAGGCTGAATTTAAGGATTTATGCTGGGCTGGTTGTGTGAAACTCATCTAGCTACCTTTTTCTGCATGATTTTGACGTATAGCCAGGTTTGGGAGCCACTGGCTTATAGGATGAAGTCTTTAGCATGGTATGGAAGCCCCCCCAAGATCTGGCTCTAAGTTATCTTGTCCATCTTAATCTTGTCATTTCTTGTTTTGTACACTATACTTCAGTAATACTAGACTGCTGACAGTTATGTGAGTTCCATGCAATTTTATTTTTGGTTTCTTTGTATTTTCTCTTCCCTCTTCCTGGAATACCCTTACCTTGTCTGCCAGGCTGTTCTTACTCAGTCCTCAAGATCCATCACTTCCTCCTTGAAGCCTTTTATGTCTTCTGTACTAGTCCATAAGCTACTTGTGAATTGCATTCATCTTTTTATCCCAAGAATCTAGCTTAGTGCCTGACACTTAATAAGGTCCTTAGAAATATTTGTTTATCCAAAAGGCTGTATACAAATAATTTTTAAAAACACCAAGCGCTATGGAATAGCTGTATTGCTGAATCCTGTTTGATAAAATTAACACAGATTTTTAACCCCACCCATAGAGCCATGGAATCTTCAGGGAATATTGTAATGATTATAAACTGTCTAAGCCCAAAATGGAAATAAAAGTAAATATTTTTTCAGATTATACTAGGGAGATAGTAATAGCATAGTGGTGAAAAGCATTGGTTTGTGGTCTTTCCAAAATTTTCATCTCAGCTCTAATACTTATTTGGTGAGTTGGCATATTGCCCATTTTCTCTGTCTCAATTCCCTCACCTATAACTTGGATATAATAATACCTTGAACACTTGTTGTTAGGACTGAATGGATAATATTCATTATTGCTTAACACATTTGCAAGCATATAGTGAGCATTCAGTACATGGTACCTTATTAAGCTTGGTGGTATTATGCCATTAGTAAATAAAACTCAACATTATTGACCCAACTTAAGTAAGACAAATTTTGAATTGTTTTCCCAACACAGGCTTTTCCTGAGTTGAAAATAATGTTGAATATTCCTTGCCTTCTCTACATTCTCCCTCCTGGGTATCATGACAGTGACCAGCTTCCCTGTCTTGTTATTAATTTTTGGCTTCATAGCTCAGTCATTTTGAGTTAAACAGTCTTTCTCAAACATGTTCATCTGCTTTGTTTCCCTCTCTTTTCTAACTACTTTGTATTTATTCAAGAAACACTTAATGCATGTCTATCATATGCTATGTATGGCTCTGGGCATGGAAGCTAGTGCCTACATGGCAATGAACAAAACATAAAAATCCCTGCCTTGGAGATTATACATTAATGATGGTAGGCAAAGAAATAAATAAGAAAAATAAGTGAATAAAGAAGTACATTCCAAGGCTTCCCTGGTAGCGCAGTGGTTGAGAGTCCGCCTGCCGATGCAGGGGACACGGGTTTGTGTCCCAGTCTGGGAAGATCCCACATGCCGCGGAGCCTGCGCGTCTGGAGCCTGTGTTCCTCCGCAATGGGAGAGGCCACAACAGTGAGAGGCCCGCGTACCGCAAAAAAAAAAAAAAAAAAAAAAAAGTACGTTCCATACTGTGTTAGAACATAGTAAGTGCAGTGAAGGAAATTAAAGAAGGAAGAATGGTGTGTATGAGGGTGATGAGGGGTGTTACAGTATGTATTAGTTTTCTATGATTGCTGTAACAAATTACAACAACCTTGGTGAGTTAAAATAATAGAAATTTATTGTCTTATATTTCTGGAAGCTAAAATTAGTATCAGGGGCCAAAATCAAGGTGTCGGCAGGCCTGCACTCCCTTTGGAGGCTTTAGGATAGAATTCATTCCTTGCCTTTTCCAGCTGTGGTGGCTTTTGTTATTCCTTGGCTTGTGGCTGAGTCTTTACTTTTTCTTCTTCCATGTGTAGTTTCCCTCTGCCTCTCTCTTATAAGGACACCTATAATTGTATTTAGGGCTCACTCAGATAATCTAGGATAATCTTCCCATTTCAAGATCCTTAATCACATCTGTGAAATATTTGCCATATAAAGTAACATTCATAGATTCCAGGGATTAGTTCATGTGCAGTTTGTGAGGCATTATTCCAGCCTACCACAGTATAAATTATCAGAGTGGTTCTCACTAAGAAGATGTATGAGCAAAGACTTTGATGGAAGTGGAGGAGCAAGCCATATAGATATCTTGGGTCAGCCAGCAGGTGCCCTGAAACAGATGCCAATTCCTGTAGAAAGTAACTTTTTTTTTCCTCCCTCTTTTCACTCCATTTATAGGCCAAGAAGCTACCCTATTTACACTTTATTTACATATGCATGTGTATATATAGATCATGGTTTCTGGCTCTCAAAAAGCTTGGTCTACTAGAAAATAAATATATGTCTTTGAATGTTCTAGTTACTATATTAACTTTTTTTTTTTGGAGTCAAAGTGGGGAAGCACAGTGGCTATTTTATTTTTAATTATTTTTTTAACTTATTTTATATTGGAGTATAACCGATTAACAATGTTGTGATAGTTTCAGGTAACCTTTTATTGAAGAATAATGTACATAAATGTGCAGACATTATAAGCATAGAACTTGATGTATTTTCACAAAGTAATCACACATGTCAACACTAAATCAAAAAAGAGGACATTTCCAGAATGCCAAAACCCTTTCTTGTTCTTCTCAAGGTTACTACCCTCCTGAAGATAACTATTCTTCTGACCTCTAACACCACAGATTCATTTTGCCTGGTTTTGAACTTTTTATAAGTGGAATCATCAATATGTATTTGTCTGGTTTCTTTTGCTTAATAATATGTTCGAGAGAATCATCTATGTTGTTGCATATAGTTGTAATTTGTTCATTCTCATTGCTCTATAATATTCTTTTATATTCAAATACTACAGTTTATTCATTTATTCTATTATATATGGTCATTTGGATTGTTTCTGGTTTGGGGATGTAATTTATGCTGCTGTGAACATTCTTGAACATGTCATTTGGTTAATGTATTATGTATTTCTGTTTGGCATATACCTAGGAGTAGAGTTCTGGGTCATAGGGTAGCATTTATTTTTAATGCTAATGCTTAAGAGGAAATATAGGAAGTACTAAGAAAATAAAGTATTATTTTAAAATCCATATTTTAGAAAAACTGAATTAAACATCATATTCTTACCCTTGATAAGCACATCAATAAACGTTTAACACTTTTAATATTAAGACAGAAAAGCAATAAAATAGTAGAGAGATGAAATGGCTCTTAACCAGATATTTGGTAAAAATTAGCAAGGGTACAATGAAAGAAAAATTAATTATATTTGTCATATTAAGTGCTTTTTGTGCTTCTTTAACTATTTTTTTCTTTTTTTCCCTTAAATTATAGGAACCAAATGTTAAAAAATTAGAAGAGCAACTTCAGGGAGGCCAAATAGAAGAGGTGATTCTTCAGGTAAAGAAAAGTTGAATATTCAGATGTTTAGCTTCAAATGTTCAAAGGCACAGTGTTATAGAGGTACAAAACTCACATTCCAGAAAGAAAGGAAAACTAAACTTTTTAATTTATATCAATTCATCCAATAGAAGACTAACCACATAAGAAAATGCATACTCTGACATGTGTATGTCAGTTAAATATTTATGATTGATTATAATTTGAATTTATGAGGCTTTTGTTGGAAGTTTAGAATTTAATTAGCATGTTCTTGTTAGCCTTTCCTTAGTTCAAATTAGTAACAGTATTATTGCTATTTGAATAATTTATCTTTTTAGATACATATATTTTTACATTTTAAAGGGTTACTATATTTTTAATATGGAAAAATACAGATCTTTTGAGTCATAAAATTAAAATGCAGTTTCATTTTTATTTTTGACTCTTGAAGGTTAAATTCTTAAAATATGTTTTTGTATTTTGTGTTTTATAATTTATATTGTTAAAGTTTTTACTCTGTCATTTGTTTTTAGTGTTTTTCTTATATATTTCTTTGAGGTTATTTTCAAATAAAAGATATTAGCCTTAAATTTTTGCTTTTTTTTTTTTTTTCTTTTTTTAGTCTGTTCTTTGCCTTTTGACTTTAATTATTCTCTCCCATATGTAGAGGTTTTAAAATTTTTTACTTGGTCAAATCACTCTCCCTCTGCCCACTCCCCTTTTAATCTCCCCTCCTTCCTAATATTATATATAGGTTTAGAATGTCTTCCCCTTATAAGGGTCTGATAAATGTTTAATTCTGTTTCATGTAATTTTTACGTTTTTCATATTTAAAAAAATGTAAACTTTTTTCTTACGTTTTCTTGCTTGATTTTATCAAAATCTCTTACCAATAGACATAATATATAAATTTGAAAGAATTGTTAGATGGCTCTGCTAAAAGAGGAATGGAGTATTCAGACAGCTTTCTATAAATGTAGACTGTTTCAGTCATTCAGAGGCCTATTTTCTTGGCCTTCCTATTCATTTGCCAGGTTGAATATGGTACGAGATAAAGTGTTATGGGAATTTAATGCAAACTTATTATTATTGTTTTCCTTCTGTTCCTCTCTCTTTTCTACCTGATTTCACTTTGATCATAACTTTAGCTGGTACATTAATTTATCATGCAGTTATAGTCTTAGGGTACATTAAGTATTTTTACGTTATCTGTGCAGTTCTCAAATTTTCATGGGCTATGCTAAGGTTAAATTTTAATAATGCTTTATTTAACCTAGTAGATCTAAAATAATATCATTTAAACATCATCAATGTAAAAAATTAAGACATTTTACATTTTTTTTATACTAAGTCTTTAAAATCTGGTGTGTATTTTATACTCTCAGCACATCTGAATTTGAACTAGCTACATGTCAAGTGCTCACTCAGTAGTCACAGGTAGGTAGTGGCTACCGTACTGGACAGCCCATTTCTAGAGGGACATATGAGAGGAATGAGGAAAGGGTAGTGTGTTGGAAGCCAGAGAAGAGGGAGGGAGTGGATACAGGCACCACATTGCCAGCTGAGTCCAGCTCCCTGAAGTAGGGCTGACTTAAGTGGTGTTCAGGGGTAGGAACCCTCCTCAGCATGCAGTGACTTTTGGGGGGCATAGAGAAGGCATGAATGTTCAAGAGACAAAAGTCAAAGGGCATTCAAAGAGTCATCCTTAGGGATTGTTGTTTTAATCAGTATTTTCTCATTTCAGCATTAGGAAATACCTCTACCCCCAGATTTCTGTTTATCTACTCTTTTTAACTCATTGTTTATATACATTTAGACTGTTGCTGCTAAACATAGATTGGCTGTTTCGCACCACTGGCATAAATGAGGCATTGCCTTTTTTTTTCCTTAGTCGTGGCTCGTGGGCTCCTTAGTTGTGGCTTGCCGACTCCTTAGTTGTGGCATGCGAACTCTTAGTTGCAGCATGCATGTGGGATCTAGTTCCTGGACCAGGGATCGAACCCAGGCCCCCTGCATTAGCAGCTCAGAGTCTTAACCACTGCACCACCAGGGAAGTCCCGAGGCATTGCCTTTTAACTGGAGAATTATAGCCTCTGATAGAAACTAAGCATTCATTCTGTGTTTGAATTCTTTCTCTGATGTCCTGACAAGTGTTCAACAGTGTTGTTCTTCTAAGTTGGCCAGAGTTGTCATAGGTCTTTTTGCTGTGGAAAAAATGTGAAGTAAGAAGATAGCTAAACAGGGAGATCAGCTCGGTGCTTTGTGTCCACCTAGAGGGGTGGGATAGGGAGCGTGGAAGGGAGACGCAAGAGAGAGGAGATATGGAGATGTATGTATATGTATAGCTGATTCACTTTGTTATACAGCAGAAACTAACACACCATTGTAAAGCAATTATACTCCAATAAAGATGTTAAAAAAAAGATAGCTAAAATATATTTGTTAAATATGTTGTAAATTGTGTTTGAGAGGAAAAATTAAATGTAACAATCTGATTAACGAAACTGATTTGATTGATAAATAAAAATACAACTATTGTATTCTCTTACACTTCACAGATCACAATTTTACAGATTGTGTGTCTAAAGGATTATGGATCATGAAATCAGTTTAGGTGGATTGTGACTAGTTTTTTTTTTTACATTCAATAGAAAATAGAGTGTATGACAGCTAGTAAAGGTGATGATATTTTTAGTTTTGTTTTAGTTGTATGTGCATCTTGTGGATCCCTTAGTTAAAAGAAAAATGCTTTTAAGCGGTGGGCCATGGTAAAATAAAGTTTGAAAGCCATTAACATAGATTAAGAGACATACTTCTTCAGAGAATATGTAGTCTAAATGGTGAAGCAATTAAGATCAAAAACTCACCAACTAAACTTTTGAACACTCTAAAAGCAAATTTTAATCAAATAGAAGAAATCAAAAGCCATCCTTTCTTACTCATGATGATTGTGTAGCTGTGAGAATTAAGGTAATTTAATTAATGATGTTGAACATGTGATGGTGGAACAGCTTATTATGTATTAATATGAAAGAAGTAGCTCTACTAGTTTATATTTCAGTTATTAGCTGTGATAAATATCTATTAGACAATATAATCAAACGATCTTTTAAAAATTTCTTATTAACAGGCTGAAAATGAACTAAGTCTGGCAAGAAAAATGGTGCAGTGGAAACCATGGGAGCCTTTAGTGGAAGAGCCTCTTGCCAACCAATGGAAATGGCCAATATAAACATCACTAAATGACTTGTGTGTTTATGGGAAACTGATGTAATTAAATATTCTGTTGTATTAAAAATATTTCCATATTATTGACATCTTATAATCAAGAAAACTGATACAGAACATATATAGGAGACTTGATAAAATCGTTGATTATGTAATAGGGACTTGTGAATCGGTTTTTGATTTGTAGAGCATTCATTCAAATTATTTCAAAAATATTTTTTAAAACAAATGTTGTGGGAAGATTTGAAAGTTAATTGGAAAAATTCCTATAGATCTCCAATGCAGGGGCCATATTCAAAAGGTGAAGTATTTTTAGTAGTATCTTCAACACACCATTTAATTTTTTTAATTCTGAAAAAACATAAAAGGTACTTAATTATTATTATTGTTTAAACAAATGTATAGGTCACTGTTTGAAGTGAAGTAGTAAGAAAAAACCTATCAAATTAGAATTCATTGTACACTTGAGAAAACTGATTTGGTATTTGAAAGAAAAATTTTTATTTATAGTGGTGGTTGGAAAAACTTTTCCTTTTGTCTCATTTTTAAGGAAGTTAGCTTTCTGGCCCTTTGCCTTTAGTTTTCTTGATCAACTGAAGTACAGTAGGATAGAGATAGAATTTCTGTAAAAGAAGAGATGCTAAGAGTTGTTAAAGTTTATCTGACTTACAGGTAGGCTTATATTCAGAACATCTTAGTTGTATGGTTATAACTTCAAAGTGGAATCATTAAGTAGTTTTCACTAATTTCCAATATGAGTGCAGCTGGGTATCAAACAAGATAAATGCTGTTCAAAGAAAGAAGCAGTTTGGTAAGTTTAAGGTTAAACAAAAATAAAATTACTTTTCATATGTCCTCACCTTTTCTACCTAGCCTCCTATCATTTCTAAGTATTTAAATTTGGTAGTTCTTACCTTCAAAGATAAGAACAAAGTACTTTTGTTTTTTGTGTGTGTATGTGTGCATGTATATATGTGTTTTGCTATCTCAGAATTTTTGGAATGGGGGAAAAATGTATTTTTCTTTTTTTCCAATATTTCTCCCCTTATATAGATGTAAATTGAATGCTAAAGGAATATTTTAAGTGGATTGAGTTAATTTTTAGCAGTCAGACTGCAAGAGGACTCTTCTGTGTGGGAAGTGGGAAAAGCATTTGGGGACGAGTCCAGGGGCTCTCATTCCCAGGCTCTAGCACTACTGTGAACTCAGTGACTAAGTCGAGGCACGTGGTCAGTTTCTCAAAAGAACCTATTTATTTCCTTCTCTGTAAAAGAAGTAGAATTTATGATTTATATCTTCCTTTTCAGTTCTAACCATTTGCTTTAATATATAATTTCACTGAGGTCAAAATATATGATCTTAAAGCATGTTTGCATAGGTGCTTTAAAGCTATTTTTCTGGCCAACAATTTTTTCAGGTCCTTTGGGTACATGAAAACAGAAAGATGACTTGATACATACTTCCAGCTCCATTTCTCCCATGATCCTTGGCATCTTATATATTTCACTAGCAGAGCTCCTGTGGCTGTTAATAAAAGGGGACCTTATATGATGTTTACATTAGAAATTAGAATGCTAGTTGTAGAATAGCAGTAGTAGTCATAGTAATAATAATAATGACTAATGTTTGTTAATGTTTGCCAGGCAATTTTCTAAGTACTTGACTGATGTTACTCATTAGATCTGCATTACAACTCTTAAGAGTGAGATCCTGCAAATTTTTCCAGATAAAGAAATCAGAATTCAGTTGCAAGTAGTGCTCCCCTGCAATTAGGCAACATGGGGACCCTGGAGAAACTGAGGCAAAAAGACAGTGTAATAACATACCCAAGGTTACATAGTAAGATGTGGAGCTAACTTTTGAACCTAGACAGTCTTGCTCCAGAACTCATGCTCCTAAACATTATATTTTTTTAATGAATATGCTTGGGATGCTGTCCCTCCTGCCTGTACTGGTTGGACTGCACCAAAAGAATGTACATCTTAAAAAAAAAAGAATGTAGATCTGCTTTCTTAACTGTTTCTGTCAAAGTACCTATAAAAAACTAAAGTAATAAACTGGATTTCATTTTGTACAGAAATCTTCATATGGATCATAGGCAGATAATGTTAATGGGGTAGGTATTTTAAAGACATCACTGTGTGGTCCACTCTTTTACACTTCCTAGCTGCCATTCCAGCTGCCCCTGTAATCTTACACCTGATTGTTTTTATGTCTGCATATGTTTTCCAGGTGCTTTTTATAAACTTCCAGATTAACCTTTCCTGATCTTTTGCAGCTGATTCTTCTATTTAAAGATCTTCAGTTGTTGCTGAGTGGCTTCTAGACTAATTTGAGTAGTTTTCCAAGTGGCCTATTTCAGTCTCCCTGGGCTCCTCATAGGTCTCATTCAAGTAAATCACCCTAATCCAGGCACTCAAGAAAAAGAAGCTAATCAGTTTGAGCTTTGCAGAAAAAGAAGAAAGTAGCAGCAAAGTGATGCCCCCTTTTTCCAGTCTGTGGACTGAGTGCAGAATATTCAGATTTCTGGCGTTCTTTCCTTTGAGATGAAAATGGCTTATATCTAGGATAAGCATGTAATTTTTCATTCATTGTGTAATGATTGCGAGAGTGAAAGGAAGTGTGATAAAAATAATAGGTATAAGCCATGGCTATCCTGGGCACACAGGATATGGCTCAGCCTTGAGGGTTGCCATCCTTTCTGATCAGAAGCTGGGAAGTTGTCTGCCTTTCTGAATAGAAAGGATATAATGCCAGCAGTAGCAGCCATCACGTGCCGCCAGACCTCAGGTGTCATTTTGCCTCTTCCCCATTATTCCACTCCCTGACTCCTTTCCTTCAGAATTGAGGATGGAAGTAAGGAAGCTTATCTCTGTTTTAATTTCCTTTTCTAATCCTAAAGTATAGTTAGAGAAGTGAAGCTAATTGAGCTTTTTTGTGGTTACAAGGCAAAGCAGATTTATTTTTGAGCACAGCAGTGAAGATTAGGATACTAGATAAAAAGGAAAGCAATCTTCTGTCAAATCTATCAGATGGAGAAGATCAGGATTCTTTTTTTTTTCACTGTAAAAAGGCAGCTTACATTATTCTTGTGATGCTGGTGGGTGCAGGGGTGAGCAACCTGTCGGCCTCCATTTCTGAGCTGGAGGGGCTCCAGAGGCCCTGAGGCCAGCTCTCTTAAGTACAAGGGTCCCTGAGGGCTGCCTCGTCCACATTTGCAAAGTGGAGTGCAGGGCAACTTCTCCCCGGGTCAACCCAGCTGGTCAACCCAGCCGGTTTACCTGCCTCTCACTTGGGTCCAGGTGAGAGCTTCCTCAAATCCACATGACTCTTGTCACCACATTCTTAAGTAGCTGAATTTAGGACCTACTACGATGCGAAGACTTGCTGTGTTGCCTTCAGAAGTTAAGTCTCTTTACCTGATGCTTCATCAGGCTTTTCAAATGGGCCTTCCCACTGGGCCAGCTCTTCTAATTCCTTCTAACAGTCAAGACAGTATTCCAGAGTCTGTGTTCTTCTGTTTACCCAGGAACTCTCCCATGAAATTGAAGATCACTTTCATTTTTCTCAAAAAGCCAAGATCTTCAGGTCTTACAGGACCTTGCCTACCGTGTTCTCCAACTGAAGAGAGGACTGAGAGCTTGAACCCTTGCCACGTCCCCAGTTATCTGTATCAGGCTTCTTAATCACTGGAAGGCAGTTTGCTACCCTCACATTTTTTCTTCAAAGGGAGAAATCAACAGTGCTCCATCGAAGAAAATTCCCACATACAGGTTAATATCAGCCTTTTCTTTTTACTCCCACTCTCAAGGGCTGTATAGACAAATGGAAGTTAAAGAAACTGCCTATGCAAGTGTGTTCTGGGGTCTAGGGTAAAGCAACGAATCACTGAACATACCATGAGTAGTATTTTGCATCTTAGGTCAGAATTTCCTTTGAAACTCAGTACTTGGTGGGATGGCAGCCTATACTACAATTACAATTGAGAGGAAAGTAAATGAGAAGATAGGAGTTTGGTTTAGAGGAGAACAAAGAGGTTTATTTTCAATAGAATTCACAAGAAATTGTAGGGGAGCAAAACTTGCCACCCCAGTATGTCTGTGACATGCAGATTATTTTGAGCTGAAAACAAGGCCTAAAAGACTCAGGAAGAAATTTTGAAGGAAGCTATCATCATACATAACTATAGTATGAACTAGGTGTATAGACAGGGAGGAACCTAGCAAAGTCTGTTAAAACTTCTGTGTCCCATTGTCTCTGCATGGCCCAGCAAACATTTATTTACCAGACATTCGCTCTTCTATATCCTTGTGAAATGCCTTCCTCCCCTCTGAAGTCCCAAACCACTACCCACAACATCCTCTTGTCTTTAGCTAAAGATGGTATTTAATGTGAGGGTTTCAGCCATTTTGGTGAGTTACTCAGTTTTCCTGGGTCTCTCCCATGTATGTGTTATTAAAATTTGTGTGATTTTCTCTTGTTAATCTGTCTCATGCCAACTTAATTCTTTGACCAGGCAGAAGACTCTAGAAGGGTAGAGGAAAATTTCTTCCTCCCCAACAAAATCAAAGTGGGAATGTGATACAGAAATTGAATTATTTATGGGGACTGAAGAAATTTATTCGAATGTTTTCATTTAGAGGTAATAAGCCAAAACTCTCCTTAGTGAAGGAAAATATGAGAAAAATAGTGAATTAGAATAGGCTACCCCTAATTCCCAGTGTCTTAATGCAACACAAGTTTGTTTCTTATTCATATTACATGTTTAATGAGGGTCGACAGTGCTCAAAAGAGTCACACAATGGGTCTGGGCTGAGAATGATGACATTTCAACACGTGGTTTCATAAACACAGAGGCAGGGGAAAGGGAACATGGCAAATCATATATAGAAACAAGAAATAGAAAACCAAAGTTAAAAATTTTTTTTGGAATGTACTATAGAACTCATAAATTTAACTTGCCACACATTGCTAACATAGAGTTTTCAAAGTGGTCTTTCAGTTTATATTAGTTGCTAATTTTTTGTTGTGTGCGTACATGATAATGTATGGTCAATTAGCTTCTTCCTGTACATGACTGTAAATGAAAAGCATCGCAGAAATTCTTTTTTGAGATTTCTCATAATCTTCAAATATGTTGGTTTCTTTTTCAGGTGAACATTTTAGGCATTTCTAAAGGTAAACATTACTATTTTATGATGATAATTCATT